CTCCTCACCTCACTGGACTATCCCTCAAGTTCCTTTCCTTTGACGACTTCTCTCCAAGTTGTCGCTGTACAAGTAAACTTTCATATTGTAGTTTCAGTAGTTTCTCTTTATTTGCCTCCTAATGAGCACATTGATCAGCAAGATTTAAATGATCTTTTAGAGCAGCTGCCTGAGCCTTTCATAATGATAGGAGATTTTAACGGCCATAGTCCGCTCTGGGGTAGTAAAGTTACAAATTGCCGTGGAAGACAAATTGAGCAGATGATCGAAGATCATAGCCTTTGTCTCCTGAATAATGGGCAGAATACTTACTTCCATGAGCCTTCAAGGACATTCCACACTCTCGACCTTGCCATCTGTTCACCATCTCTGCTGCCATTTTGCACTTTTAGTGTGGGAAATGATCTTTACAACAGCAATCACTATCCCATTTTTATATCTCTTGCACGAGGAGGAGCAAACCCCATGTCGAGATCCCCTCGATTCATACTCAATAGGGCAGACTGGGAACTCTTCTCTTCCATTGCAGAGCTCACAGATGAAATGGTAGAAGATGCGCATATCGATGATGCTGTTGAAGCTGTTACAAATACTATTATTGAGGCAGCTATGCTTTCCATTCCTAGAACATCAGGAAAAATACTGAAATATTCGAAACCGTGGTGGAATCGCGATTGTCATGAAGCACTGAAAAAACAGAAAAAAAGCATGGGGTATTTTTCGTAGATATCCTACTCTGCGAAACCTCATTGCATTTAAAAGAGCCAAAGCAAACACACGAAAAGTAAGGAGGCAGAGCCAAAGGAATTCTTGGATTTCCTATGTGTCGTCAATTACATCCTCTACGCCTAGTAAGCGGGTTTGGGAAAGAGTTTGAAAAGCATGCAGAATATATAAAGACCACTCACTTTCCCTTTTGGAAAAAGATGGCCAAGTGATTAGCTCCATAGAAGAAATTGCGAATACTATCGGTGAGACATTTGCTGCCGTTTCTTCCAGCAGAACTATTCACCTGCATTTCTCTCTATCAAGCAGCACTCTGAAATAAATCCCATTGCATTCAACTCGTCCAAATCTGAGCCTTACAATAATTTACTATGCTGGAATTAAAGAGAGCTTTATTGCAGACACATAGGTCTTCTCCGGGTCTTGATGGCGTGAATTATGAAATGCTAAAACATGTGTCCTATAAGTCACTGACTGCCCTCCTCACTCTTTACAATAGAGTGTCGAAGGAGCGTATTTTTCCCAGTGCATCTAGGAGAGCTGTTGTAATTCCTATTGCTAAGCCAGGGAAAGATCCAAGGAATACATCGAACTATCGGCCAATTGCCCTTACAAGTTGTGTATGGAAACTGTTTGAAAAGATGATAAACAGCCGCCTAGTCTACTTCTTGGAAAAGAATGATATTATATCGTCTTATCAGAGCGGTTTTCGAAAGGGAAGAACAAGTGTAGATAACATGCTCCTCTTAGAGACATCTATTCAAAAAGCTTTTGTAAGAAGAAGCCACCTTGTCTCGATATTCTTCGACATTAAAAAAAGCTTATGATAAGGCATGGAGATACGGTATACTTTGCGATCTTCATGAGAGTGGCTTGCGCGGCAACCTACCAATTTTCTTTCAAAATTTCTTGAACACTAGAACTTTTCAAGTAAGAATGGGCTCTGTTCTGTCAGATGTTTTTGAACAGGAAGAGGGTGTGCCTCAAGGCTGTGTGCTCAGTGTAACCCTGTTTAGTTTAAAAATTAACTCTGTACTAAAAGAACTTCCTCCCACCATCTTAGGATCTCTATATGTTGATGATCTGCAGATTAGCTGTCGAGGGGGCAGACGTGAGATACGTACAGAGGCAATGGCAGATGGCTCTGAATAAGATCGAAGAATGGTCAAACAAACAGGGATTTACATTTTCGAAACAGAAAACTGTGTGCATGCACTTTTGTAAGAAGCGTGGTCTCCATCCTGAACCTGAGTTATATCTGAATGGTACAATTATTCCAGTTACGCCCAAAGTAAAATTTTTAGGAGTGACGTTCGACCGAAAATTGACCTTCCTTTCTCATGTTTTAAACCTGAGAAAGAAGTGTCTAAAAACACTAAATATTTTAAAAGTGTTGGCGAACACCTCCTGGGGTGCAGAGCGTTGCTCCATGCTTCGCATTTACAGAGCACTCGTCCACTCTAAACTGGACTATGGCTCAGTTGTTTATGGATCCGCTCGGCCATCAGTATTGTTAAAACTAGATCCTGTTCACCATCGAGCTCTGCGGATTTTTCAGGAGCTTTCAGGACTTCTCCTGTCCAGAGCTTTTATGTTGATGCTAACGAACCATCACTTTATCTGAGGCGTGAGCAATTGTCCCTTTTGCTATATTTTAATATTCTATCGCAACCGGAATATCCCAATAAGCTGTGCTTACTCGATGATGCGTGTAACGTTTTATTTGAAACGCGTCCATCCTGCGTTCCTACCTTTCCTTTAAAAGTTCGCCCTGTCATTGAGGAACATTCCCTCTCTGGTATGCGCCCCCAAGCAGTACAGAATTTCGAAATTCCACCTTGGGAAAATTCACGGATTCAGCTTCTTGATGTTTTCAAACATCACGTGAAGGCAAGCACTTACGAGATCGTTTACAGACAACTCTTCGCTGAACACAGGCACAAATATAGCAGTTATTATCCGATGTATACAGATGGATCAAAGTCAAAAGATCATGTCGGGATGGCATTTGTTTTTGAAGATTACATGGAGAGCAGATACCTGCACCATGCTTTCTCAGTCCTAACATCTGAATTAACTGCAATATATTATGGTCTTTTGTACATCTCGAAGCTCTGCCACAAAAAGTTCATAGTTTATACAGACTCGTATAGTGCTCTAAAATCTTTTGGAAGCTTTTCCCAACACTCAGAATCCTGTGGTAGTGGATGTTCTCAAAATTCATATAAACTTAACGATTCGAGGATATGAAGTCCTGTACTGCTGGGTTCCTGGACATGCTGGAATAAAGGGAAATGAGCTTGAAGATATCGCAGCCAAATCTACTGTTGAACTGTCTAGTCGCCTTATCCCTTTTAGAGATATCTGCTGTGTCATCAAGGTCCGAAAAAAATGGCAGCAAATTTGGGATGTTCAGCTTCAAAACAAGTTAAGACAAATAAAACCTAGAATTGAGCATTGAGAATCTACCAAAAATCATAAGGAGGAAGTTCTTTTGACTCGCCTCAGAATTGGTCACACTAGAGTGACACATAGCTTACCTTTTAAAAGCTGAGAATGAGCCTGTTTGTTCAAATTGTAATGTTTGTCTATCTGTCCGTCATATTTTAATTGAGTGTCCATATTTTAATAATCTTCGTCAGAAATGTTTTAATGGCTGTGACTTACCTCTCGACTGTTTAATCGGAAGAGAGGTCAATTGTAATTTATTTTATTATTTAAAAGAGACTGGCTTTTATTGCCAAATGTAATTTGTTTTGAAGACTGTGTCTTGAATTTTAATGTGTGCTTTTAACTTGTGTTTATATGACTTCATCCTCTGGATTTGATACAGTCTACTTGTTTTAATTTATTGAATTTTAATGTCATCAATTGTAATCATCCCATCTTGTGTTTGGCGCGCTATAATCATCTTTGGTTTTTGCGCCATAATCACTCACTCACTCACTGAGTTGTATCAAGTAATAAAAATTTTTTAATGGCTTTTCTTCCTGAACAAAATGCTATATTACAACTTACAAAAAATTAAAAAGGGGCCCTTGTGGTGCCCGCGGCCCACCAGTGGCCGAATGGTAAAGTCTCTGAACACTGGTAGTTCAATCTGAGGTTTGGATCCCGCAAACGGGCTGGCTGCATGGGCGTTTTCATGGTTTTCCCCATGTGTAACGTGTATACGAGCCAGTTTCCCTAAGAAAGTACTCCACGAAGGCATCCCTCCCCATAGGCAGATAGCCCTCGAGGCTTTGCCATAATCACACACACACACCTTATGGTGCCTGATAATCTAAAGTGTGCGGCGGAAAGGGAGGTCTTGGTATCAAGCAGGAAACACATGCTTTTTATGTATTTAAAACATAAAATATAATAATTTGAAAAATATAACTTTAATTTCTCAGCTGACATATAATGTTTCGTTTTTTAACTTTTTATTTTTCAGCTGAGTTACATTTCCTTGTAATATTACACTAGTTCATTTAGAGCCTGATATGGTTCATGCAGTGTTATATTTACTAACTATATGTTAGCAAAATTTAAAGAAGTTATTTGAATTCAAATAACTTTCAAAAGCTTTTTACACATGTTTTACATAAATATGTTCAATTCTATTGCATCATCCAAGTGCCTAAAAACATAAATTTTATTTCTAAAATTTTTAATTTCTGGAGAAATTTTAGAACTTTTTGACTTCAGATTTAACATTACTATATTCAAGCACCCATTACAGTAGGACACATATCAAAAGTATGCAACAAAAATTAACAATTGGCGACTGCATGGAGGAAAAAAATGCCCTACAGTATAAAATATATACTGGCTCTCAAAATTCAGGAAATTGGTTCTTGGAATTTTTTTTTTTTTTTTTTTTTTTTTTTTTTAAGTCTTAATTGTGTGTTCTTGGGGTCTATAAGTTTACAATTCATGCAAAATTTTACCACAGTTTAATTCTTTTATATACCACAATTCTAAACCCTGTTGTTACCTAAATCATCTAATTAAATATAACTAAGTCTTACTGTAAGTTGGACTTAAATATGAATGTTAATTGTAAGATCATAATTCATAAGCTCATGTACTGTATGTGGACTCTTGAGGTAAATGATTTTCTCATTATTTAGTCTTGGATTTAAGAAAGAAAAGGGGGAACAGATGAGCAAGTGTGTCATGCTGTGTAGGATATAGTTACATGTGTAAAAAGCACAACTGCTTAATTTTTTAGATTCTTTTTAAAATTTATTCCTTTTTGTTTCTAATGTATTATTTTGATAAATTTTTAGTTGGCAGCCTATATCTGATTACATTGAAGATAAATATGATGAATATTTGAATGCAGAGTCTAGAGTTCACAGAACAACAATACCAGATGGAAGGGTACATTGCTGCTTATATTTTATTGCACCTTCTGGTCATGGGTAAATATCTATTCTGATATCGTAAGTAGCCTTTCTGTGTATAGGAGGGAAGGGTTTACATATGCCAAAACTATATATATATATATTTTTTTCCTTTTCTTCTTAAGCTTTTACAGAAAATTTAAAATTCCTTTTGACTAATATGTTTATAAATTTTATAGAGTACTGTTATAAAAGCAAAGAATTTTGTTCTGGCTGAGTATTTCTTTCAAGAGATGTATTAAAAAATATTCTTTTAAGTTTTTGCTTATTACTGAAAATTTGATAATGTGTGCAGTATTGCTTTTTAATCAGGCGATAGGGATATAGTAAGCTTTTCTTCCAAAAGGGTATTTTAAAGTCTGTTCTATATAATTCAGAAACTACATAAGTTTAAAAATCTTTGCTAGATAATGCACAGCCAATGCAGTGCAATCACAATAAATTCACTTTAGCTTTTGTAAATTGCATTATTAAGATGATGGAAGTGTAGCATAATATTGGGGAAGCTTAGAAATGAAGTTTTGTAATGAAACACAGACTTGTTTTGAAATTGAAAGGTTAATAAAAATTTGGTTATTAATAAAAAAAATCATTTTAAAGATTTCTTTCATTTATTAGTGCATGTTTAATCTGAAGTTTTCCTTTAATCTTACACCTTGAATTTCTTAATCATGCTGTGTTGATGAACTCTTGATGTAAATGAAATGCGAGTGAGTAAAAATGTAATCAATTTTTTTTCTCCCCTGGTATGTGAGCAAAGCTAATCATACCTATCATAGTTCGATAGGTGCCTTTTTTGCATAACTACCTCCTTGTGTGATTATCTGCCTAAAGTCACACAAGAAGCAAATTATGTATATATACAGTCAAAAGTCGTTAATTCAGACACCCATAATTCGGAATGATCTATAATCCGGACATCAAAACTAAAAACTTTCTGCGCATGCGCCACGTTGACACATGCGCAGAGGCGTTCACGCGTGCGCGTAAGACCTTTTACGACTGCGCATATGAGTGTGCGCAAGTGCAGATACGTTTTCGCGTGCGCATTTTATGTAAATGGACGTATAAGCTAAAATTATCTAATTATCTATTCAGTTAATGTTGATGTGATTGCGTTGTTCCTTAATTTTCGAATTGCATCCGCCTTATTATTTTTTGCAGACTGTAAGAGCATTTTATAAAAGTAAGCTTAAACTTTCGATTATATCAAATAGAATTTCCGATATATATTGTTAATATGTAAAGGATCTAAAGCGAAAGTATGTTTTGAAATCCGAAATCTGTTATCAATTTCACGCTGCTCGCGGCGCCTAATGAATTGGAAGTGATTTGTCAGCACTATCCTTATCTTCAGCGCAGATGTTTTTATTTTATTGGCTTATAATTCCTTACCAATGTAGTATTTCATCTCGATATGCTCCGTCTTTGATATGATTTAAAACAAGTTCCTCCTCATTATAATTCGCTTCCGATAGGGAAGAAAAGTGACAGAGGTTATGAAAACAAAAAATTTCGATTGACAAATTAGTCGGTGTTTTGACACAGCAATTATAGGACTTGAACGGCGGCGGAACTTTGTAACTGAACAAGAAATTATGTCTGTTAATAGAATTAAAGAGAAAGTATTATCACATGAAACGAAGCAAAACTTAAACAACTTACATTGAAAGAAATGTTTAATAAAGTAAACAAATAAATATTAAGCTTTTTCTTTTGCAAATTTTGATACCCTTTAGATCATAATTGTTCTTTATTTCATAAATACGGTTTCATATTTTAATTTAGAATTTCTGCATGCCATCTTACGAGATTTAAACTGATGATCTATAATCCGGAAAAATCGATAATCCGGAATCGCCGAAGTCCCGACGAGTCCGGATTAACGACTTTTGACTGTATAATAATTTTAACGCATTTTGCTAATGTAATTTCATAGGTACAGCTAATAATTAATAACAATAGAAATGAAGAACTGCATTCATTCCCTTAATTTGTCAATCAATAATGCACAGATATTAAAAAAAATTAATATCTTATGCTGTAACAAATGAAGGTATGTGATAATTGAAAGGTAAAAATATTTTAGTTCAGGCATTGATAACATATTTTTTAAAAATCAGTAGGTTTGTTAATTAAATTCAGAAGCCAAATGTCTTATATTTTTGCTGAATGGCAAGACATTTCTTTGAAATTGCTGAGTTTTCTGATTAAAAGTCAAATATCTTATGGTTTGCTATGTTAAAATGCATTGCTTTTAAGTTGCTGAGCTTGTTTAAAATTTCATTTAAAAAAGTTCAGCAAAATATATGTTAAAAAAATTAGAAATATAAAGTTCAAATTTTGAAGTGCACTTCTAGAAGAGAACTACGGGTGTTCAAACTTTGGTAGCTCTAGGTGTCATTGTTTGTCCATAATATGAGGAGCATATGTCTAGAGTCATTATCATTTTATAATAAAGATTAAGATATTTGTTTCACAAGACTGTGTTTAAAGAAGTATTTTTCTAGTATAAAAATAAATTTAACGATTCTTTGATACTTGTTGTTTATTGCCACAGTTTAATTGCAAGGCATTTGTTTTTATGATAAAAATTGGTTCTTTTGACTAGTTCTGTGCTATTTAAGGATTTATTCTTACACATAATTCATAATATAATTAATCATTTTTCTCTCAAACAAGCCATATTCATATATATATATATATGACTGTTGAGCAAGCAGGAGACAGACTTATCAAGGGGAAGTTGCCTCCAAACCTAACTCTCCAATCATTCAATTCGTGTTTCGTCATTCATGCAGGCAAAAGTCAAAACCAAAAGTAAAAAAAGTGAAGAATGTCCAAAAAGAAATACCAATAAAAGTGGTACCCTTAGAAATTAGCATTTAAGAATTAAAGTTTTAAAAGGAAAATACTAATGAAGTCTTTTGAGAAACAAGCAGTAAAGTCAAGTATTAAAATTAAACTTTTTTTTTAAATTAAATTTAAAAAAAATTTTTTTTATAAAAAATAATCTAGAAACTAATGTATTTTAGAAACCCTTGTCTACAGAAACCTCCTCGACATGACTATGCATATCAATAAAAGAAACTAAAAAAGAACTAGACATAATCCATATAAACCAATAAGAAACATAAAGAACTAAATACTTAGTTAAATTAATTAACTTAAGAACTAATTACTTAGTTCTTAAGTTAGAATTAAAACTTACTAATTACTTAAAGCAAGTAAATAGTAAGTTTTAATTCTAACTTACCTACTAAATGAGCGTTTGGGGGTCTGCAAAAGTGTTTTTAAAGAGAAGTGTGTTCTTTAAATTAATTATATAGATGGCGCTTATGTAGGTAAAGTTGAGTGCCAAGCTGCTATCTTTGTTATACAGTCAAAAGTCGTTAATCCGGACTCGTCGGGACTTCGGCGATTCCGGATTATCGATTTTTCCAGATTACAGATCATCAGTTTAAATCTGGTAAGACGGCATGCAGAAGTTATAAAATTAAAAATATGAAACCGTAATTTATGAAATAAAGAACAATTATGATCTAAAGGGTATCAAAATTTACAAAAAAAAAAAAAAAAAAAAAAAAAAAAAAGCTTAATATTTATTTGTTTATTTTATTAAACATTTCTTTCAATGTAAGTTGTTTAAGTTGCTTCGTTTTTTATGTGATAATACATTCTATTTAATTCTATAAACAGACATAATTTCTTGTTCAGTTACAAAGTTCCGCTGTTCAGGTCCTATAATTGCTGTGTCGAGAATGCCGACTAATTCGTCAATCGAAATGTTTTCGTTTTCAATAACCTCTCTGTCACTTTCTTCACTATCGGAAGCGAATTATAATGACGAGAAACTTGATTTAAATCATATCAAAGACGGAGTACATCGAGATGAAATACTACATTTAGTAAGGAATTATAAGCCAAATAAAATAAAAACATCTGCCCTGAAGATAAGGATAGTGCTGACAAATCAACTTCCAATTCATTGCGCGCGCGGCGTTAAAGATAAACAAACGTTAAAGTTTAGATAAACAAAGGATATGCCTTTATCCATTTTTTGCAGCAATTCCACTTTTTGTTTAATGGACTTACTTTCGTGTTGTGCATCCTTTACATATTAGTAAATATATATCAGAAATTCTATTTGACATAATCGAAAGTTCAAGCTTACTTTTATAAAATTGCTCTAACAGTCTGCAAAAAATAATAAGCTGGATCCAGTTCGAAGATTTAGGAACAACGCAATCTGCAACATTAACTGAAATAGATAATTAGATAATTTTAGCTTAACTTATACCAACCGTTATACATTAAACGCGCATTCGTAAACGTATTTTGCGCATGCGTCAACGCTTACATTGAAAGAAAGTTTGTAGCTTTGAGGTCCGGATTACAGATCATTCCGGATTATGGGTGTCCGAATTAACGACTTTTGACTGTATTAAAAATTTTTTGCAAACATTAATATTAAAAAAGTAATAGTTAAGTAGAATTTTTATTGAAAGTTATAATATCATCTATGTATCTAAAAGTATGAGCAAATACCTTTAATTCATTTTTATTTAAACTTAGTTGGAATTTATATTCAAAAGTAAAAAGAAATAGGTTACAAATTTGTGTAGAACTGTTTGCTCCCATAGGAATTCCTCTAACTTGCTGAAAGATCTTATTATTGAATTTAATGTAGTTATTAAATAATGCACATTTCAGATAATTATTCCATCTTTCAATACTAAGGAGGTCAAGTATGTCAGGGAAAAGTTGTGGGAGTTGCATTAAACTAGTAAAAATTTCTTCTAATGGTAGAGAAGTATAAAGGTTTTCAAAGTCATAGAAGTTAATGTTCTTGATTGTTAAACTATTAAAACTGCTGAGAACTGGAGCATTATTATAAATAATCCAACTATAATTGTGTTGTTTGTTAACGAGTTGTTGGATTAAATTACAGATTTTTTTAAAGTATAATTGCAAATATGTAATCTATATTCTTTTTATAATTATTTGTACCATTAGCAATAAATCTAAATTTGAGTGGTGATTTATGAAATTTTGGGAGAGCATATAGATTTGCTAATCTATTGTAGCTTGATTTTTTTTTTTTTTTTGCTTTAAATTTGCTTTTTTTTTTTTAAATTTTGGTTTTAAATTTGCTTTTTTATACGTGTTTGTTAAAATTTAATTTGTTTAAATATTAGAGTTCCAATTATATTAGAGTTTCTGTTTGCAGTACACCATATATATATATATATATATATATATATATATATAATCCTTATTTTTCAGCATGAATATTATCAGAGAAAAATTTTTTTTAAATTGACTTAAAAGTTTATCTATATGCATTTTCATATCTCTCTGATAAAGCTTTATTAATTAGAAATAGTCAGCAAAATTTGATAATTGTATCATTTTAATGATGTAAGTAGGTTTCTGAGATAATTACAATAGCAGTGTTTTCTGTGTAATTTATCATTAGAATATCTGTGGTACCCATCACATCAGACTTCACTGTGTATTACCTCACAAATATTGTTATGATGTTCATTACATTCAAAGAAGCAAGTAGAAATTGAATACTTCAAGCAAATTATGAATACAGGTACTTATGTTTTATTGGAACCACCACTGTAGGAAGTCACCGAATTTTCAGAATGTGCCAAACTCTGGCAACCATGTTCATATTTTTCCTTCAGTCCAGCAATGCCGCCATTTTCATATGCACTCATTTTTGTTGTTTTACAAGTTCCAATGGTTTCTATAAGCAAATCGTAATATCTTTTCCATTAATCTTTATTTTAAAATATTGCTTTTGGAATTTGCAAACAGTGGAACAAACTGCAGTTAAAATTTCTGCAGGACTACAGAATTTTGTTGAAAACTTTCTAAATAAGACAAGAAGGAAATGCCTTATAGCTGCTAATGCTGAGGTTTGCGGGAGTTGTCTTATTTCACTGTAGACATTTGTAAATTTTTAGATGAAGATTCAATCTGTTAATATTTATATCTAATTTTGTTTATTTCATTACATAATACATTACCAAGTTTCGATAAGCTCAGTAACTTTGTCCATGCTGTTAATGATTGAATGAATCATAGACATAAGTATGCAGACAAGAACTCATTATTCTGTATATTTGCAGTACACCATAAAGAGATGATTAAGACAATCTGCAGTCGTTTTTGTTTCTGCTATATATTACCTTAAAAACTGTCATGTTTTTGCCCATCCTTAAATAATTAGATTTGAAAATTCTGCTTTATTATTTTATGTGGTCTGTTTTTTCTGTTTTTTTGGGGGGGATGAAATGTTTATTTTATTTGCTTATTTATTTTTGAAATATCCAAAGATTAATAATACATGATGGAGAAACATGTCAACTTTTAAGATTAGACAGAAATGAACTTTTATTTGGAACTAAAGAAAAGCTATTTGTGTTTTGAAAGAATGACTAGATATGTCTTTTTCAAGTTAAAAAACTATTTTTTAAAATTTTATTACATGGAAAACTCCCTGAATTATGTATATATTTGAAATATGCAGATCTCCTTGTTTGTGTCTGTTTAGTGCATGTGTATGCTTGATCATGTTTTTCAATGATCTTAGATCAAGATCACTGAAAAGTGAGTCCTGTTTTGGTAATCCAATAAATGAATGCCAACTGATGCTGCTTATGCCCATCTGCTTTTAGTTTACTTTATTAAAAACACAGTAGTTAATATATCAAGCAGACTAATTATGTGTGAATCTGCTAGTTGTGTTATTTGTAAGATTTTTTATCTGTAGTAGGATGATATGTTTTTCGGAAGATAAAAATTAAATGTAGATTTGAAACTGCATGGAATATTGATAATCTCTTCAGATTTATAGTCTAGCTGTTTGTTAAAATTATGTTAGAAGGGGGGCCTAACTTGGTTTTAAACATTATAACATTTAAAAACTTAATTTTATTTATTGAATTACATTTTCATTTTATTTATTGAATTACATTTTCTTGTAAACTCTTCTTTCTTGTAATGTCTTGCATAGCTACTTGGACAACTAGTGCAACCTTTTAAATTTGGTTATGTGTTTAATATTCATTTAATCTTCATACTATTATATATGTCATGGTGCAGGGTTGTTCTATAATGTGAAGTATACTTAACTGTGCATTTTCATAAAAGTCTTTGCTGTAAAATTGGAGTTTTTTTATGTTGTAATTTAGCTAAATTACATCTTTTCAGTTTTGCTTAACCCTTTTTTGTTGTGTTTATTTATTCATATAATTTATTTTTACTTGATTAACTTATTTATGTGGTTTTTTATTTGATTAATTTATTTATATAGTTCATTTTTATTTTACCTTCTTAATTAATATATTTCAGTTTGAAGCCTCTAGATATAGAATTTATGAAGAGGTTACATGACAGGGTCAATATTATTCCCATTATTGCCAAAGCAGATACAATGACTCCAGAAGAATGCCATTTTTTTAAAAGACAAGTAAGGTTTATTAAATGTATTATTTTGTTTGTACTTCTAATTATTGCATTATACAAACCAGACTGATAATGAAATTAAATTAATATGGATCCACCCCAAAGAGTCAATTGTAAAGTATATCTAAATATTATTTTACTCTCAAAATTGTGACATGATTTTCTTACCCTTTACTCTAGTCTCGCTCTTGTAATTACTCTTCCAACATGTGTGTAATTGAAAGACTGAAGAGTTTGGTGCAAGATTTTCACAAGTGGAGAAAACATTACTACCCAACACATAACTCCATGATGAATCATATTTGTTACAGATGCCTTTGAATGAAATTAGATTGTATGTGAACTTTCATTAAGGTAGAGAATAAAAAGTTACATTTACACCATGTTATGTTATACAAGTTTTGGAAAGGAATAGGTTTGGGAACCACAACAAAAATAATTCCAGACAAGTACTTGAACTGTGCTGCTCACTGCACAATGAAATGCAATTCAACGGGTTTCAAGATGATAACTCTAACTTAATCATAAACTTGATCTGAATACCCATTTGGCATTAATGATGCCATTAACATAGTGAAAAATAAAATATTATAATGGAGGAAATGGCTCGGAGTCTGAGAATTGACAGTTTTATATGCATTTCACTATTTAAAGAAACTTGGATTCACTTCAAGCTTGCTAACCCAGTGTTGCATCATTTAATCAAAAATGAATGTTTTTTAAATTAAAAGGGTTGCAAAAACTGCCATATTTAACTTCCCAGTCTGTGACGAAATTTCAGATACAACCAAAGACCACTTGAACAAGGAATTACCAAAAAGAATATGTTTGAACCATGTCCTTGCGGCCATTTCTTTGTTTCCTCATAGTGAAAAGAGGCTATTTTTTAATCAAATCATAAAAAGTAATGAAAATTTAATTCTTTACATTAACATGTGGTGAAAAAGAAGCTAGAAACAAAAAGGTGAAATTGCAAAATCTTGGTAAATAAACAAGGTAGTTCTCATCAAACCTCTTTACTATAGATGTTTGTTTGTTTGATGAATCCCAGGAAAATGCAGTAAAATCATTTTCTTCAAGCTACTGTACCCTAGCTAAACAACCAAAGCAGCAAATAGTGTTGAAGGAACTGTGTACTTACTTTAAGGTTTAGTAGCTCTGTGACTTATTGGGAAACATTAATATATAATAAGTTGCTAGTGTAGCTGGAAAATATTAAATGAAAGAGCTGCAAAACACTGAAAGAAAATAATTTAAAGTAGTAAAGATGATGTTGTCTTGTCCATATTTACATAGAACTATGGTTGCCAGAGCGTATTCCGAAGAGAGGTTGGACTTGTAATTTCCACCTCCAATTTTGAAGGAGAGCACCCGAGGGGATCCAGGGGTCTTCCACCCCTCCACCAATCCACACGAGAGAACTTGTGGCTCACTGCATATTTAGAGTTCTGCCGTGTTGCACTGACACTATATATTTACAAAAACCCATATCTTCTCTGAGGCTCGAACCCGGACCCTTCGGTACCATAGTGGCTCCCCTAACCGTTATACCGTCTGGGTGACAGTAATAAAAATATGAAACTCTTGAATGAATATTCCATTGATCCTTCCTTGAACCTCCTCATTATTTTCATTTAATGAAACATAATTTTTGGGATATAAATCTCTTTCTTACCTACTTTCTTTTTCTACTCAGTACACAAAGTATAGTATGCATGAATAGGAGCTATATTCTGCAAGCATTTGATTAGTTATTTGTAAATGAACAAGTTTGCAATATTCTGGCATTTAAAACGTAAAAAGCTTATGTTTTTACCTTTCCCTTCTAAATTGCAATTATATGTATGTCAGCATAAGTATCGATGTGTAAAATTCAGTGGCTTTTTACTTCTTATATGAATTAAAGGTATATGCATAACCACCTTAGGACAGGTTGCTAAATTTCCTAAACTCTGGCAACCATTTGCAAAGCAATACTTCAGGCAGCCATACTTATGACAGTTCTTCAAACAATAATGCTATTTCCATTTGCTTTCTTTTTGTTGTATTCCAAGTTCTAATGGTTTGTAAAGAGCAAATCATGTTAGTTTTTGTCTTAATTCTAAAATATGTGCTTGTGAAATTTGTCTGCAGTAGATAAAATTGAAGTGAAATTTCTGCATAAAAACAGTACTTTGGTAAACTAAATAATTTTTTTCTTTAACGATCACCATGAAAATAAATAATTTAACATCACCATAAATATGACCATCAAAGGAAAAAAGAGAGAACTTAACTAAAATTGTAAGTAGATTTTTGAGATATTCATAATTAAAAGTAAATTATATATGTAGTAAGTAATATTTTGCAGTTCTTAGTCATTATCCTTTTTCATCTGTAAAAATCTCCAAATCACAATAGGGTAGCTGTGCTAATATGTAAGTATCAAATTAAATAAAAATTAAGTTATTGAATTTTGCAAGCTGGAATGAGATTTTGACAAGTTCAAATATAAGTCATATAAATTCAAATTACTTTTTTAATGATGCAGTGTTTTGATGTTTTAATGTTTTTCTAGTTTATTTATGCAGAGAGGAAATTAATTTTTTTTTACTATATCTATATATATATATTTAATTGAGTAAATGTATAATTGATTTTTTTATGTTAAATGCACATTAAAAAGTAGCATATAAATTTTCTTAAGTTCTTTTTTTTTCAAAACATTATATTTTTAAACTGTATGTTTTGCTGCAATGCACAAATGTATGTAGATTTAAAAGTTGAAGAAAAAACATTTATCTGCATATTTTGGATGGTGAAATTTGCAATTTACTGTGTTTCTTTTGTTATTTTCTTAGCCAATGAAAACTTTTTTCATAATTATTGAATTTTAGTTATTATTTTAGTCATATGCAGTCATTAATTGACTTCCTTTTTTTATTGTGTATTTTAATTTTTTCATTATTTGAGATGATAATTTATTTATTTTTAAAATTTCTTTAGATTTTGACTGAGATTGCACAGAACCAAATAAAAATTTACCAGTTTCCTGACTGTGATGATGAAGAAGTAAATAGGCAACAAAAAATCATGAAGGTAATTTTGAAATTAATTTTGTGTAATCTTAAATCGGTCAAATCTTGGTTGTTTATATATTCTTGTTGTGATGAATATTGAAGGGGAAAAGTCGTAAATGCTTCTCATGAGCTAAAGATTGAACCTTTGCATTTTAACTTAAGAATATACAGGGGCAATCCCCCCCCAAAAAAAGGTCTCCTATTTTTGGGACATAGAGAAAGTTTTAATATGGTTGGTGGCAACACAGTTGTGAGTGTGCCTTCTCCACATAAGCACGCAGGCGCTTCGCTCGGATGCGCAGTCTTGGCTTGGCAGCCATTCGAAATGAAGCTCCCGATAAACGTTTCCGCAAAGTGTGCACAGTTATTTGATTTTTTAACGCAAAAGGCGTTAAACCGGTTGAAATTCACTGCCTATTGACGGAAGTGTATGGACGTTCGCAAGCGGTGTAGAGAGTTTACAGCCGGTCATTCTGAAATTCATGACGAAGAAAAGAGCAGGAGGCCGTCAATTCCCGACGAGACAATCGCGAAAGTTGAGAAACTCATGCGTAAAGATCGGAGGATCACCCTGGATGCTCTCTTCATTTTGGTTCCTGAGGTTTCCAGAAGCATCATCCACAGGATTTTAACAGAAAGTTGCAATATTGGAAGGTGTGTTCAAGATGGGTGCCGCGTATGCTGACAGAAGACCACAAACGGCAACGGGTTGATTCTTCCCGCAAATTTCTTTGCCGCTATAGAGACTAAAAGGACAACTTCTTGGACTCGATTGTCACGGGTGACAAAACCTGGGCATTCCACTTTACACCTGAGACAAACAACAGTCACGTGAGTGGCGGCATCCCTCTTCGCCCAAGCCACGAAAATTCAAGCAAACACAATCTGCCGATAAAGTCATAGCAACTGTGTTTTGGAACAGGAAGGGGGTACTGTTGGTCGACTTTCAGCCAGCTGGGACAACAGTCAACACTGACAAGTACTGTGAAACACTGAAGAAACTCAGAAGGGCAAATTCAGAACTGGAGAAGAGGGATGTTGAGCGAGGGCATAAGCATTCTCCACGGCAATGCCCGTCCTCACGTCGCCCGTCAAACCATTGATCTCCTGCAAAATTTTGTTTGGAACATCATCACACACCCACCTTACAGGCTGAACTTGGCACCCAGCAATTTCCACCTGTTCCGTAAGTTGAAGGAACATTTGTCTGGATGGCGGTTCTGCTCTGATGATGAGGTGAAAGATGAGGTTCAACGCTTCCTGAAGGGCATGGCGGCAAGCTGGTATGACATGGGCATTGTAAAACTGCCACAGCATCTACAAAAATGCATCAACCGAAATGGCGATTATGTTGAAAAATAAAGCATTCTTCAAATTTTTAAAGTGATGTAGCAATTATAAAAAATAAACGGTTCTTTGTATATCTAAAAATATAGGAAACCTTTTCTTTGGGGGGGGGATTGCCCTCGTATGTATAACATATTGATATTATTTAGATCAACATATCTGAAAATTCATTTCCTAATAAAATCTATCAGATGAAATATAAATTTGGAAAGATTCATTTGTATAGAAAAAGTAGAAGGTTCTCTAAGAATAGAATACATGTTTTTTTTTTTTTTTTTTTTTTTTTTTTTGTACATTTTAGATGTTTCTTAAAGCAATATTTTTTTATTTAAGAATTTAGTTTAACCCCTTCGAGCCGGGTAGCGAAAACGCGCGCTTATCGCGGAGGCCGGCAGTGTCTTCCGTGAGCGTCTCTCCAGGGCCAGGGGCTTTTTTGCTACTAAGCCTAAATCCATGAAATTTCCGAAGTATCAATGCATCATTTAATAATGCTCTATAGAGTATTTAAACGGCTTATGCTTTATAGATATTTTTATATATATACTTTAATTTCCTTATTTCTTGTTTAAATGCATATTTTACACATTTTATTTTAATTACTCACCATTTTATGACTTTTAACATTATACATCTGAAAACTAAATATATTACTTAAAATTCTCTTTTCGTATGAAAAATTTGAAAACAGGGATCTACACACATCCTACGTTACATTCCTTGAACTCGTAATAACTCATTTGCCGTTTGGAGGATTTTTTCCGGGAAGTGAACAAACGAAAGCATCATCGTCTCATTTTCTTATTAGTCTCTTCTGAACAAAGTTTTGGAAAATGTCTTTCAGTTAATCTTCAGAGAATCAATATCAGAATTTCAGAATCAATATCTGAAATATTTTGCATCATTTCAGCTATTTCATGCTCTGTTAAACATTTTCGACGCTTCGACATTGCAACGGTAAAAACAGAAAGAATTCACGTCTAACAAGAATTCTAATTATTTGCTAAAAACTGAACTGTAAACCGAAATACTCAACGCTTTAGCACATATAAAACTTCTACTTACAATAAACAACTACCACGTGCGAATAAAGTGTGATTTAAAGAGACGTCATAAATCACGCCATTCGGAAACATTTAGTTCCCTGTTTGTTTATATAATCAAAAACACGTGTATGTGAGTCATGCTTCTCTCATTTCGAGTAGAAGGTCTAATGTACATGTATCTGAAACCATATGGACATACAGTGCCATCTTGTGGCAGAAATTATAGTTTCTAAAACGTTCCAGGGTACTGGCACAAATACGTGACAGTTAGTAGTAAACGGAAAAATGCTCTGGCACGCCTGTGTGTCGGCCGGTAGGTGAGTGTGTTCGTTGCTGGCACGTAGACGTGACAATCGGCGCGAAGGGGTTAAATGATCTCACATTTAAAAGCATTAGTATTTTGCACACTTATAAAAATGTTCCAGAATTGTTGTAAATATGAGGGAAAAGAAATATTTCTCAAATATTTTTGGATTGTATTTAATAGCCAATTCAGTTTGGTATTTAAGATCATGAAGGAAATTTTTAATATTTATTTATTAAATTTTGAACATTTTGAATGGAAAATTCAATGAAATTTTCTTTTGTTAGTGGTATAAAATTTAAAAACAATATTGGTAACTGATAGTGCAAAAAGAAACAATACAATCAGTGCAAAACTGTTTTTTACTTGTATGGGCATCCAGTCTACAATTAGAAATTATAAATAACTCCCCCTTTAAAAAGTGCTACTAAAAACTTCAGACTACTGTCAAAATACCCTGAAAGGTTTACAATTGAAGTTTCAAAAAGTTAAAAGAAGTTTTAAATGGAAAAATTTTAAAATTATGAAGTTAAAAAGTAGCATTAATCTGATCTTTATAATTTCAGTTTAACATGTAAAACAATTTCAAGTCAGCTTATTTAAGAATTAGTCTGAAATTAAATGATTATAAAACTACATTATATGCAATTAGGAGCTCAAAATGGCAAAGTTAAATGATGAGGAAGGGAAAGAGGAAGTTATGATATTATTTCATCATAAATTATGCAGCTGTAACTTAATAAAGGAAAAATTTAATTGTTTGAAATACAGCTGCACATTTATTTCACTAGATCCCTTGCACATGAGACTTGCGACAAATGTTTTAAAGACAAGAGATTAGCTTACTGAAAGCAGAAAACTATCTTCAGGATTTATTAAAGTGGAAATTAGATTCACTGAGCTGGTTGATACAGCTATCTACTCAGAAAAGTTAGATATAATGTAAACAGAATTGAAGTTTTGTCTGGGTTTTTTTCTCTTGAGAAAACTGTTACATTGAACATTATTTACTTTTTTTTCACATGCGTTGTTGACATGAACTTATGACATTTCCTGAATACTTATGACAAGATGTACTGTACATTTCCAGAATATTTAACTTTGATAAGTGCCATTTTCTAAAGCACATCGTTCTTGTTTCCTTTGTTAGAATTCAGCTAAATGTAACCTAGCAATCTTTGTTAATACAAATTTTTAATATTTTGCTTGTTCTGCAGATTTACTTGGGGATTTTTTATCATTAATTAAAATACTAAAGTACAATATTTTTATATAGGAACGGGTACCTTTTGCTGTTGTAGGTAGTAACACTACTATAGATGTCAATGGCAAGCTTGTTAGGGGACGTAAATATCCCTGGGGAGTTGCTGAAGGTATAGTAACAACTTTTCGTTAAGTGCAGTAATGATTCATTGTAAGTATTATGACCTAATTAAGTATTTGTATATTTCTTTTTCTTAGTGGAAAATATGGAGCACTGTGATTTCATAGCTTTACGAAATATGCTTTTAAGGTTTGTTTTCTTTTCTCTGTTCACAATTATATTCAGTAAAAGAAATATTTTAAAAGTATTAAGTGATGAATACTAGTAGTATGCAAAACAATCGAATTCAAGTATGTTTTTACGTAATTATTATTTGGAAGCAAGATAAAAGTATTTGGGTCAGCAAAAATTTATATTATCATTAATACTGTGATACAATTTATAAACAGCTTACAGCAGGGATGGGCAAACTACTGCCAGCGAGGCCAACCAAGGCCAGAAGTTTCTCTCTGGCCCGCGAACAGAATTTTAATTTGCGAGTCCGAGGCAAATTAAGAGAAGTATATATTATATATATCCATCTCCTTTTCTACTTTGTTATTTTTTTCTTCCCTTTTTTCAAAGGCCTGATGATCTTTTTACTTTCCCTATTTTTGTTCTACAAAACATAAATCGACGGAAATAGCAAGTGCAGACAGCTCTCAATCGGTAAAGTGTTAAGGTGGAAGTTCTTTGTTAGTTATAGCTGTAGATTGGAGCCAACAAGCATTAGCTCTTTCTCGACATATGGGAATCCAATATAGGTGAATCAGACCTCACGTGTGGCAGACTGCGCATTTTAAGCTCCATCCAGTGGCTTTTTCTTTTGGCGCGAGTTCTAATATTGTTGATTGCGTTTGGAAAGATTACAAACATGTAGCATCATTGTGAATAGTGGTGAAATTAAAAGTTTAGCATAGGTAGTGCTAGATTGGGTTATTTGTAAAATATTTCAACCCCAAAATGGCTACTAAAAAATGTGTAAAGTTGATTCAGAGTGCCATGCTTTAAATGATGAATGGACCTTGAAATATTTTTTACAGTTGTAAAAGATAAATCAGTGTGTCTCATCTGCAATGAAGCTGTAGCAGTCTTTGAAGAATATACATTTCCCATCATTCCTTATCTAAGCATAAGAATTCCAATTATGAAGCAATGTCTGAATATGAAAGAAAACAAAATGCAGAAAGTCTTTGTAAAAAATTATCAGGCGGACAATTTTTTTTTTTTTTTTTTCAAGAAGGTTAAACAGTATCCAAGAAGCAGCTATACATGCAAGTTACATTGTAGCATAAAATATTGCTAAAGGTAATAAAGCTCTTACTGATGGGGGAGTTCGTTAAACAATGCATGCTCCAAATTTGCTATGTTTTATGTCCAGACAAGAAAAATAATTTTGAGACTTTAAGCTTATCTCGTAAAAACGGTGACTTATAGAATCGAAGACATCAATAAAAATTTGAGGTCACAATTAAAGTCAAAGATTGGCCAGTTTAAATTTTGCTCCATAGCTATGGATATAATGCTATGGATAGATTGGCACTGATATAAATGATACTGCTCAATTAGTATTACTTGTAAGAGGTGTTGATGAGAGTTTTGAAATTACTGAGGAACTGGTGTACATGCGTTCTTTGAAGGGAACTACAACAGGATGTGATATTTATCGTGAATTTTAAGTGCCTATAACACATATATATTTGAAAGTGCCTATAACAAATATTTGTAATATTAGGACTGATAGAGCACTAAATATGACAGGATACAATTTGGATTTTCTTGGACTCTTTAATCAAAACTATCCCGGGAACAGTGTTGTTTTTCTACATTGTGTTATACATCAAGATGCTCTGTGTAAATCTGCATTGAATATGAAACCCATGCTTCATGTAATTGTGAAGCTTGTAAATACTATTCAATCTCGTGGGCTTACTCACAGGCAATTTCGAGATTTTCTTCAGTCCGTGCAAGCTGAATACTCTGATGTACTGTATTACACGAAAGTAAAGGCCAGTTTACATCTGTCAGAGTCGCTCGTAGCAAGCTGCTCATCCGTGCGTTTCGAACCGAGTGAACGGACTTGTACTCTGCTAGATTGTTTACACCAATCAGAGTGGACTGACAACTGGCCTCCGTTTGTTTACGAAATGGATACCGATGTGGCAGCTGCAGGAAAGAATATGCATTGAACATACATAGATGTGCTTGAAGTCTGGGAAGCAGTTTCAAACAAATTAATTTCTGCTCTTGCGAGAGGGAAAAAAAAAAAAAAAAGAAGAGGAAGAAAAGGAAATGGGTACGTGACTGGGTAGCTTGCCGCGATAAATTAGGAGTATCAAATGAACTATTAAATGAATTTCGGGACGAGGTTGTCCAAAGTTAAACAAACATTATTGTATGTCCCATACAAGAGTTTAAAATATATTCTGTAAATGTAATTGAAACTTATTCACTTTTAAAATATATTCATAAATCGATTTAAAAGAAACTCAGTTTATTGAGGGAAGTCAGTTTATTTAGTCAACTGTGGTTATTGAAATTCAAATTAACGAAAGTTTTTCTACTATATACAACTGTTTATTTACACCTAATTAATCATTTACAAAATAGTGTAAAAATAATAATGTGTTTTATTATTTGTTAATAGAGAGAGTATATTTATTCATCTAGAATCCACAGAATCAATAGCTCTGCGCATATAATTAATTATGCAGAGTTCTGACTGGAACTGTGTTATTTCTAGAGAAGAATGCAAAATTAACACATGGAATATTTATTCATAGCAACCATTAACACGGCAGAAGTAAAATATATATTATCTAGCTAATTTTTCAGAAAATCTTAAATAAATAAGAAGTAGCAAAAAACTTGGGAGCATTACATATATTACCACAGGTAAAAGAATATGTATATTATGACATAGTTCCAACAGGAAGATATTTATCTCAAATTCTTACTTTTGGATCCTACTGAAATTGTGTTTCTGGACAACACACAAAGTGATATCAACAAAATTAATAATGGTTAAATATAGTGATTATATTTTACTTTTAAAATGCTAAAATGGATAGTTTAAGAAGATTAGAATTCATCTAGCATAATTTGTATAAACCTTAATACACCGTCAGTACTTACACTCACACAATTAAAGCTGAACATGTTTCACATCCAAGCTGAAGTTGTAACGTGAATTATAGAGCCCAGAATGTTTTTATACAAAGCAAGAAATTTAAATATCCCCAATAAAACAGATCTACATATTTTTTTTCATAATTCCATTTTTATTTTTATAGTTTATAATATCATATATTTATTGCATCCTCATGTAGGATGCTTGTAGAAAAAAAAAAATGAATATAAGCTCACATAATTATAGAAGTATGCAACATCTTAATGAAGCAGTGAAGTGTTCCCTAAAATACTTCATAAGATGCATATGCATTAAAAAGTGCCATGGTTTGGCTATTGCTTTACATCTCGGCATTATAGAACTCACTGTCACAACGTCCCTGCGAACGCTGCTCGGACTAACTGCCCAGATAGATTTTTCAACAGGTTCAAAGTAGAAATGGAAACGCTGACTCATCTCCCCTACGTTTCTACTCCGTCGAAGTGAGCGTTTACACTGTCAAAGTAATCGTAATGAGCGACTCGCTCCGAGCCGCTCTGACAGGTGTAAACTGACCTTAAGGTGACTTAGTGCAGGATGTGTTTTTGAGCGAGTTTGGCAGCTGAAAGACGACATTATGTTGTTCTTCCATGAGAAACAGTGCTCTGCGAAGTGCGAGATGTTAGAAGATACGGAATGGCTTTCAGGTTTTTCACTTTTCACAGATCTTCTTTATCATATGAGCAACTTAAGTGTCAAGATGCAAGGGAAAAATCAATTTATCAACGATATCTGGGTCCATCTCAAAGCTTTTAAACTAAATCTTAATCTATTTGCTGGACAGCTAGCTTAATGTCTCACTTTCCAAGGTTAAATTCAATACCCTAAGTAAATGAAGAGAAGCTTAAGAATTATGAAAATGGCTTGAAAAAACTGCATTTTTGAGTTCAAACAGTGATTTCAAGATTTCAGTGCCATTCAAACAGAATTGGATATTTTTACCATGCCTTTCAACGTAAATTGTGAAGCAGGGAGGTCAGATCTGCAGCTTGAATTAATTGAGTTGCAATCTAACAATCATCTCAAGCAGTAGTTCTAAATATGCCAAAGTTAAGAGTTTTACAAATCATTATCAAAAGTAAGTTTCCCAAATTTAATATCTCACACCCAGAAAATCCATGCTATGTTTGCTTCATCTTATGATATATGTGAACAAGTGTTTTCAACTATGAACCTTAGAAGGAATTATTTCAGAAGTAGACTGACAGATCAGCATTTAGCCTTGTTCCTTAAAATCAGTACATTTCACTTCGAACCTCAATATAAGGAATTTTTAAAAATGAAATCGCAACTTCATTCATCTCATTAACATATTTAAATTGTAATACTTGTATATTGTTTTTAAAATTTTAGAAAAATTTATCTTGGCCTGCTACTGAAAAAGTGTGCCTATCCCTGGTTTACAGTTTATAAAGCTGTTTTAATAAGTAACATCTATTATACTGAAAGCTGTAAGAGAGAATACAAGTATTTAATCTACTTTTGAAGTGCAGTTTCAGAAGTCTGGGATAAATTGAATCTTATACAGAAATGTAAATTTAATATTAGAAGTATGGTTTTAAAATTGTAGTTTCAATTACACTGTTAGGTTATTTACAAATTATACAGTATTACACACAAGGTGTGTCCAGAAGTACACAATACACAAGGTGTGTCCAGAAGTAAGTTCTGTTTTATTTAAAAAAAAATTTTTTTTTCAAGTGAATTTTTACATGAAATTTTGTCAGGCTGATTTTCTGCATAGTTTCCAGTAGTACTGAGACATTTGTTGCAGTTAGTAACTACTTTACACCTTCCTAAAGAGACAGCTGTCATCAGTGATAACAGCCGTTTCTTCACTTTTTTTTTTTTTTTTTTTTTTGTCTTGTTCTTGCTTTGAAAGTGATGACCTTCAAGGTGATGCTTTGTGTGCAGAGCAAGACATACAAGGTGTGTACTGGAGGGGCAGAGGAGATGATCAACCTGCTGCCAGCTGAACTCACCAGTTTGCCTTTGAATGACACCAGCAGCATGTCCCTGAGCATTGTTGTGAAGTAAAACAATTCTCAACTGAGCGGTACTGTCCTTTTGTTTTGAATTGCTTGCTGAAGTCTTTTTGAAGTATCAAATTACACTGAAGGCATCATCTTTAGGAAACAATTCAACTAGTAGAATCCCTTTCATTTACCAAAACACAATTCATGTGATTTTTGGGAATGACATTGCTGTTTAGAATTTTTGTCTTTTGGGAAATTCTGTGTGTTTCCATAGGATATCTTCATGTTTTTGTCTCATCCTTGCTTTGAAAGTGAAAAGAAGAAAAGCTGATAGTGTAAGACATCTGTTCCATGAAAGGTTTTCATCAGCTTGCCTTGTAGTTTCTATTCTGTAGTTACATGATCAACTCAAGTTTCATCACCAGTCACTAACTAGTTTAAAAACGCCTCTCTCTCATCAGTGTATTGGATAAGAAATATCAAAGAACTTGATTTTCTATCCAACATATTTTATGCTTGATTTTGTGGACATCTCATACAATATATTTTTGGTACCTTAGCTGGCACATTACTTATGGTAATATAAACAGTGGAAACAATTTCATGCAGAACAGTTCTGGAAACTTCGGAAAGGGTTGACAGTGTAAAATATCTGTTCCTTCAAAGATTTTCATCAGCTTTCATTACCAAATTGTCATTGACAAGAGAAGGCTGTCAATTTTGCGCTTCAGCATGCACATTAGTTTATCCTTCATTAACCCCTTGAGTGGCTCAGCTTTCAGGAAATGGCATTAAAAATAATCATGTGTATTTGACTTGTCATTTTGGCTAACAATACAGTGTGATTCAGCCATTTGTTTTCCAAAATTTGATTTAGGTTTTTTAACAATGCAGTGTGATGCATCCATATGTTTTTAAAAACTCTTTTTTTTTTTTTTTTTTTTTTTTTTTTTTTTTTTTTTAAATTTAGTGCTGAAACAAGTTTTTATGCATACCTTTGTTTAATGAACAAACTAAAACTCTCGGAATTTTACTGTTTGCACTGCAGGGTAGAGCAGGAGGCAAAATCTTTTAAATAAGGATTTTATAAAACTTTAATGCAATTTTTGGTTTGTGGAGGGAGAATTTTTGGAACTTGCTGGATATTTTTGACTGTTTACCATAACAGAATTTTGAAAAGAGCAAATTTTTCATTATTGAAAAATGGTCTTTTGATTAAATAATTTAATTGACAATGTATCTTTGATAAAGAAGATTACAAAATTTTCATAAAGTTTTTATTTAAGACTCATAAAATAATAATGAACTAAAAGAAGAAAAATAATTTATCATATAATTTCACAGGATTAAGAGATTAAATAATTCTGTTGAAAAAATGTATCTACAATTTTATATCACAAATAATAAAGTAGGGTGCTTAATATAAGTATAGGTATGGCTTAGAAGATGATATATTGTATAAAATTTGATTAAAGAAATTGGATGAAGGAAAGCATTTGTGATAAGCCTCACATACAAAGGAAGGATTAAAATGCAACGTCAGTGACTTTTATTTGGATACAATAAATGATGTGCACATCAGAGACCTTTTTCGCTCCACGATGTGTCAGAAAACGGGCTAGTGGAATAACAGTCTGCTTCTCTGGCTTAACATCATAAAAATGATAACAGTTTTTTTTTTAAGAGCAATTTTAATTTTTTAGTTATATATCGTATTTACTTGCATCCCTAGATTTTTAGTGCAAGTTTTTGGAAATTTTTTAGTATGCATGTAATTTTTCCCATTCTTCCAGCAACATTAAATGATTTGAGTTCTAGAAATTAGCCATTGGCAGCAACAAACGCAGGTGTGATTTAAGATACGTAGAAGTAGAAATGAGGATATCTTCTTATTGGAATGTACATTTCTTTTAAATAAACAATATTATGATAGTTACCAATAGTTTATGCATGATTACTTTTCATTTGTTTTGTACTTATTATAAGCACATCCTTAAAATATATTTATAATTTTCTCCTCTTGTTTTTTATGCGATAAAATTAATAAAAAGAGGGAGTAAGAATATGCAAGTAAATGAGATATTAATATTTGCTGTGTAGTACTACTTTATATTTGCTAAGGTGCAAACTAATGAATTTTAATGACATTTGGCTTCTTTTGTTAATCACTAGAAAATTTTTCTCTTTTTTAGGAAAAGTTTTGATTGTCCTGTTTTTTAATTGGCTTGTTAAATTTATAAAGTATTGGAATGTATAAAGATGTTATTTTTCATTTTATGACTTAATTCTAGAACACATATGCAAGATTTGAAAGATGTCACCAGTCATGTACATTATGAAAACTTCCGATGTCGAAAACTTGCTGGTGTCGGATCTGATGGTAAACCAGCTAGATTATCAAATAAGTAAGTCCGAAGTACAGAATCTGCATTATTGTGAAATGAGCAGAATGTGGTTTTCATAGCAGATTTACATTTGGCATCTAAAATAACAATACTATTGGCTAATGTGTTTAGTAATATGATGCATGTTTCTGTATAATGCTTGCTCCCCTTTTTAACTTCCTTCTACGAAGAAAAAAGGAAGTATTGTAATCACAAAAAGTTTCATGCGTCATATTTCAACACAAATATCCACTATCGAATGCAATTTAACGATGTTTTTGCTTGACATCTGTACGTCCTCAGAATGTTGAAATTTTGTATATAGGACTGCTATAACATGTAGATGTGCACTTCATATTTTGGTTGCAATCGGCCACAACAAAAAGTATGTAAATATACAAGGTGTGACTATTAATTTCCAGAACATCTCTAATAACACCAGAACAGATGATGTGAAAAATGTAACCTTTTAATATGTTTCAAAGTAATCCCCATCAGCCGTAATACACTTCTGTGCTCGGCTGTATAAGTTGTGGAAACAACTCTTAAAGTCCTCTTTCGGAAGGCTCTTCAATGTTGACATCACATTGTTCTTGATGTCTTCAACGTCCACAAAGACATCCTTTGATCACAGTTTTGAGTTTCGGAATGTTCGATCGTACTCTCCTGACTTGGTCCCCGCAGACTTCTTTTTGTTTCCCAACTAGTTAATGAAATTCCATGAGCCCTTTCTGTTCCACTAATTGTCCAACCTAATATTATGTTGACTGTTAGTAAGAAATTGGACAGTCTGTGAAGTTTGCCCGTAACTATTTTCCAAAAAAAATCTACTCTTGTTAGTAAAGAAATTTTTGACATTTCCTTGCCTCCATTTATTGAAAATTGTATTCCCTGATTTTTAATAAGGTTAACTGCTTCATTTCTAATGAAATGAATATATGATCCATTAATGGCAGGAATAATTAATGCTTCTATTTTGATTTAATTTTGATACTTTGAATTATGCAAAATGAGACTGGTTCTTTTCACTTATTGCACTTCAGGCATCATGGACTCAAATGAGAATATTTTTATTTCTCCTATAACTGTAGTTTAAATTTCTTACAGATGTCCTCCGTAATAAATGTTCGCTACAATCTTAAATGAATCAGAAACTGAAGACGTGATTATTCCTTGAATGGGCCTCTTGATATTCACATTGTGTATCAATATATGATGCCATTGATTGCAAATGCAACAGCTTAGTTTCAGTTTGCTATCTGTAACTAAATGATACCTTTTAAGACACATGAAACAATTTTCTCTTTGTTTTAATGCTTCCCTTTTTTCTGCTACAGTTTTTTTATGTGATTCAGAACTATGATTTTCAGAGCAGAATAAACAGCTGTTGAAAAAAAGATGTGTTTAATGTGGCTATTGAAGGGATACAACCCGTATAATAATCCTGATTTCTTACGTTGTCTCAAAAGTATTCTCGAAACTGCCGCTTGTTTTCAAAATATAATTTTCTTTCTGCAATTTCAGAATCGGTTGGCTTAATTAAAAATCCTGTGTGCTCTCTACTTTCTGTTTCCTTTAACGAAAATGAAATTAGTAATCTGAAACGAAAATGAAATTAGTAATCTGAACATTTTCGTTATTATCTTGATGTTTTCTATAAAATTCTAGGGCTAAATCATTAAGGATCATATTTATTGGTATTTGGTACAATAAGGCATCATACAAATCTGGTAAAATATTATACACGATTTTAATCCTTTATCTGTACTTCATAGTGGTCATGTAATTTTTGAAGTACCATCACATCACTAGACTTAACTGGAGTCGAAATTGACAAATTATTTATGTGTGAATCTGTTTTTAGTTCCTTGCAGTCGAAATGATCTTTTAACATTTTACAGCTTTCTCGTGCTGCTAATGTTAACCTTTGTATTGCCGTTTCTGCATCTAAAAGTCAGAATTGACTTTAAATGATTAAATTTATCCACTGAGCATAGACTTTTTTTCGTGTACAGCTGTCTCAAATCACGACCTAAACCTAGGCCAACTTCAGTTCAACGTAATGACATTTATTATGGACACATTTTTTCCTGAAAATATTCCCAAGCACAAGTTTGGGAGTTAAATTTTGTTTTGCTATACAGTGACAGTTCCACGTGAAGTAGTATTAGTGCTATGTGGCTTAGCATCTAAACATCTTTTTGTAACTAACTTCTAAACAATAATTTTATCTTTATACTCTTCTCTATAATTTTTTTTTCTTTTAACTCTTTACATCAGTTAAACTTTCAATATTTTTATCAGCTAGGATTGGTTCTTTATTAGTTAACTGCATAGCCATTTCTTCAATTACACATTTTTCACCCTCATTAGCAGTTTCTAGCTTATTTATTAGTTTCGTGACTAATACTCGTAAAGCAGCTCATTTCTTTTTCTACATCCATTTTTGCTTAAAGCAAAATGTCTTAAATTTCAATTAAAATTCAACCTAGTAGTTCCACATGGAGCACTACTTAATATATGTTATTTCAAATTCAATTAATCAAAGGTAAAAATTAAAAATAATAAATTTTTTTAAAAAATTGCTTACCTTGTCCTCAGCGGGTTCTTTTGCCAGGACCACTAGGCGATCCTCCTTTTGTTTACAATCATTTAAGAGATATTAATGCAAATGATTAGTGCATCTTTACACAAAACATGTTTCAATGTGGACAAAAAACACATGTTAGGTTAATATGAATACATCAAAAGTCCAAGTAAAATTTCAAATTCAAAATCCAGCACGACGCGAGTTTCTCCTTTAGTGATCTTCAGTTCAACGTAACGACATCACACATAAGGTATCTTGACTTGTAACACATGATGAGAGCATAGGAGAATTTGATAATTCGTAATATTCTCTCCAATTTTAAAAGTTAATTCTTCCCATTCAACCAAATTCAGGCAGTGACAAGTTTTAGCCTAGGCACTATTGTAATACCATTAGAGATTTTCAAAGCTAGGGAACATGAAAAATCACTTTTGCCTTCACTGGAATTCAAACTATAGCTCTTCCTGCCATCTGGGTGTAGTATTCATTTGCATCATGACGAGCGTGCAGGGAAATGTCATACTTCATTATAGCTTGAGTAAAGTAGCAGATGATGTCATATCATTTTAAAGAATTAAAGGCAATTTTCTAATTAATATTTTTTTTTTTTGAGCATTTTTGTTTTTAAAAAGGATGAAGAGTTGTTTTCATGATCTGGGGAAAATGCAAGACATTGTAAAGCCATATATTTCCTAATACTAGAATTAAAAGTTATTAGAGACATAATGTTCAAAATTTGGAATATATTTTGAGAAAAATCATCAAAAATCTGTACATTTGTATTAACCATCATGATCGGTATAGGAGTGAGCAGTGCTGGCTGTCGTATTCATGTCCTTCAAATCCCAAAGAAGGCAAGTATGTAGTGTCTGTGCAGTATAGAGGCACTTAGAATACTGGCGAGCTGAAAGTCTTCTCGAGAGGTTTGGTGGTAGGGAAAGAGAAGTGGGAGATCCTTGAATACATTCTCTGCAGTATTTTTCAAAATTTAGAATGTAAAATTGATTTCCCTGACCTTGAGCATTCTCGATCATGAAATAGCTAATTGATCAATGGATATTGGCCTTCCTAGCAAATGCGTAAAGTTGTTAGTATCTGGCCATTTGAGGGACTTAGGAAGATTATTTTCTGAACTGTTAGATGTTCCAAAGACTAATGAACTGTTAGATGTTGCAAAGACTACTGAACTGTTAGATGTTGCAAAGACTACTGAAATGTTAGATGTTGCAAAGACTAAAATTTTGAAATGGGTAATTCAATCACTAAACAACTATGGGAACAAAAATATAATTATAAAAAAAAAATTATTAAAATGTATAGATTAGATTTTGAAAAAAGAATTGAGAATATGCAAATGTGACCTGCTCATGGAAATGCGTACAAGTATTAGTAGAAAATCTATGTGCTAGGTTTCATAGCTCTAGGCTTTTATATCTCATTCTTACACAATATATTGATAGTCACTCTTTTTTTCTTTTTTTAATAGATTAACATATTCAAATTAATGTTTTGAAGTGTAATGATGGTTAACTCAAATTATAAATTTTCATACTAAATTTTTAATATGAAATATTTTAATACTATTCTGATGCATTTTCTTGCAACTAAAAATTTATGGTATACATTTAATATAGTTAAATATTTTTAAGTAAAGAATTTCATCATAACTTAGGCAAATTATAATATAGGAGGGTCCAAGTGTGACAAATTATTTATGTTCAGACAATCATTTCAAAGGTATCCATGTTTCAGGAACCCGCTCGACCAGTTAGAAGAAGAAAAGAGAGAACATGAAAATAAAATGAAAAGAATGGAACAAGAGATGGAGCAAGTATTTGAAATGAAAGTGAAAGAGAAAAGGCAAAAGCTTAAAGATTCAGAAATAGATGTACGTATGATGTTAACTGGTGATATAAATATTTCTGTGTTATAAATAAGCATTTTTTAAGATAATCTAGATTAAAAAAAATTGTAATAGCTTATTCTGGACAAATATTTGATTTTTTAATTAATTTATTATTATTATGCAAATTTAAAATTAGTTCCAGTTAATTAAGACAAATCAGAATTAATATCCAAGATCTGATTTCAACTAAAAGCATAACAATCAATCAAATTTCATCTGGCTCATTTTTCCACACTTTTTATCAATCATCTAATTACTGAACACATTTAGAATAAAGTAAATTTTTATTTTAAATTTTTATTATATAAATTGCATAAAGGAAATAATATGAATTTACGTTCAAATCTTATGTGAAAAAAGTGTTAATTTTTTTGGCCAGATGTCAGATAGTTGAACGTTGGATTTTTTTTACTACTCACTTTGGTGGTAGGGAAAAAAGCAACAATTCTTGTAGTATGGTAAAAGCAAAATCTCCATCCTCCAATTTGTTAAAAGTTTTCCTGTTTCAATTGGTAGTAATTTATGCAATTTCAGATAAATGCAGTGAAAATTTTAATTTATAAAGATATTGGTATTTAGTGCTTCATCATTTGATACAAAGACACATTAATATAGGTATTTAAAACTAATTTCCAGGAATGAAATTTCACAACCCACTATTTTTGCATGCAAATAAATCATTATCACTTGATTACATTGTAAAATTTGAATTACCTTGGACTAATACTAAAAATAATGTTAATTGGAAAGAGGAAATGACTGGTTTCATTTATGTTATGAGCATGCATGTATTTGTGGGTTTAGTCTTTTTCTTCTGTCTTGTCAGTATTTTCATCATAAAAACATTCTGTCATATATTTGTCTTATGCCTTTTGTCAGCTGTTGCCAGTCAAAGCACTGATGTATAGTGCAACTGACTTGTATTATTCTCTTATTTCATGAAGTAGCCACCCAGGCAGTGTAGCGATTAGGGATGCTGACTGCAGTACTGATGGTTCCATGTTTGAATACTGGAGAAAGCATGAATAATGTGAAGGCATCGATAGTATGTATGCTGCAAGGGGACACTGAAAATACATGGCAAGCCAAAAGTCCTCCTGAGTGCTTGATGGTAGAAGAATGATGAGAGACCCTCAGATCCCCTCCAGAGGGTTCTCCATTAAAATTGTGACAAAGTTTAAGATGAAGCAAAGCCTGCCAATACCTAATGTTCTTACAGGAATGCACAGGTGCCAGCCTTGCCTTAACCCGTACTTATATCATGAAGTAGCCATCCTGATCAATGTAGTAGTTAAGCAATATTGCCTGCCATATCATCTAAAAATCCCAAAGAAAACATGGATATTATTAAGGGTATAATCAAAAGTTCTTTCAGAAAATTTTTGATAAGAAAAGGGGAGTGGAAGAACGTCATGTCTATTCCTCAGAGTGTTCGTAAAAATTCGGGTAAAGCTGTATAGTGGTGAGACTACACCCGTATAACCAACGATGAATTGATGTGACCTACCCACTCCTATCTTGCATTGCCACCTTATCAGTAATATTAATGTTAGACATGGGTTAGTTGTAGCTAGTTTTCTAATAATCAATGAAGTTATGTATTTCAGTTTTAAGTGAAACATCTTCAAGATAACAATCACTTTTTTGATTAACAAATTAGTAAAATTCTATTCAAGTATTATTATTATATTCTGTAACTATTATTAGTAAGTACTGTATTAGTATTCTGTAAATATTAATTTAAATTTTTTATTAATAATAGTGTTAAATCTATTTGTAATTCCAGCTATTAAAGGAGTAAAGTTACATTTCCCCCTTATTAAAAAAATATTGATTCATGAAATATGTCTTTTTTGATTAATATGGTATTTTATATTATTTTAATACTTTTTAATTTTGAAAAATATGAACACATTTATTTCTGGATTAATTCCCATGAACATCAACTGATGCTTGCAAGAATAAAATTTAGGAAATAATCTTAACTAAAGAGGATTTTGCTTTTATCTTAGCTTCAGCGAAGGCATGAGCAAATCAGAAAGAGTCTAGATCAGCAAAAACAAGAATTAGAAGAAAGAAGGAAAGCATTTGAAAAGGAAAAAGCAGCATTTGAGTTAGCAAACAAAGATGTTGAAGATGCATTCAAAAGAATGACCATGGACAATAATTCCAAAGAGTAAGTATTAGGAATTTTAATATATTTACTGGTTGAATAAATAACATTAGTTTGGTTTTCCAGTTTGCTAAATACAATGTCATCTGTCATGTGTATGTATATTTTTAAGTATTTATTAAAATATATCATTTATTTAAATGATTTATATATTACTTGCATTTAGTTATATATGCTGAATATGGAATTTTTTAAATGAAATTTTTATCTTATTCTAATATTCAATTAGCTTCATATTTCTTTTTAGTTGGTTAACTGTGAAAGTGTCTTATAAGCAAATAATTTATCCTATAATAAATAACTCTCATTATATTGTATTGATATTAATTATAAAAGTGGTGTAATGTATATCAAAGTTGTTATAATATTTAGCTGCATCAACATGTTCAAAAATCATAATTTAATTCTTAATAGAGCATATTTAGTAAGGCTGTTTTAAAAATGTGGGCTGAGTTTTGATTAATCTAAGAACAATTTGTTTTACACTTCACCATGATGCTCATTTTGTTATTTACCCTTTGTTTAAAATGACTTAAAATGGAACTTAAAATCTAAGAATTTAGCTTATAATTTCACTTGTTCCAAAATTCTATTTTCTTCATGCAAATCTGTAATCATTTTAATTGAATGAATGATGTAAAATTGGCGTATATTACTTTATGAGAATTCTGCAAATAATGTGCAAAAAAGTCACACAATGACCTAAAATTTTCAGTAAGCCATACCGATTCTTCTTTTTTCTTTTTCTTTTCTTTCTTTCTTTCTTTCTTTCTTTCTTTTTTTTTTTTTTTTCTTTTGTATGTACTAACTGGTTTTATTTGCAATCAGTAAAACCACTTCATTTCTCTAAGTAATCAATCAGTTTGATTTGTTCTTTATGGAACAAACAAAAAGGCAAATACAGTAGTTGGGATGGTAGGTTCGAGAAGTTAAAGTGGCTACAAAAGAAAATTTAGATAGCAAAAGAGGGTTCAGAACTAGCACTATTCAAATTATGTGAAGAAATGCGAAAGCCGTATTGACCCTTTTTAACTGTATTGTAATTTCTTCTAGATGAGGGTAATGGGTCCAAATTTTTTTAATGTATGCTGCAATTGATGCATGAGAAAATAAAAGAAATCAATGTTGAATCCAGTTTTTGTGATATTTTGTTGTGCCACTCATAAGTAAAATGCTTGTGTTACCATGTTTTTAATCTATACTAGAAATTAAGTAGCTTTAAAAATTAGGCAAAATTCTATTTTGTATACATAAAATGTATAAATTATCAGAATATATATATGCTAGAATAGAGACCTGTATGAGATCTCTTCAGAATCCATAGAACATCTTCTGTGTAATACCAACCTGCTAGAATAGAGACCTGTATGAGATCTCTTCAGAATCCATAGAACATCTTCTGTGTAATACCAACCTATTTGAAGCTGATATACTTATCTTGCATCTGTTCAGTATTCTTTTCCAGAAGCTGGTATTTTCTCACGCAGTGTTTTCAGAGAAATTCACATCATAATTTGAATGCGTAAAGTGTGTTAAAAAAGGGGAGGGAGGAATAAAACATCTTGTTCTTTTATTTAAGAAAGCCAAAACTTAGCTTTGGTCTTTGATCATCTGAGCCAGAGGTTGGCAGACCTTTTTTAAATAGGATCAGATTTTAAAAATTTTAGGCTTGAGAGGCCAAGTAGTAAACATGAAGATAAGAATGGGTAATTTTCTCATGGAGCAAAAAAATGTTCATTTTTTATTACAAAGTGATATTTTTACATATTATGTATTTACATTTTATTAACACACACACACTAAACATTTGCAAATATAAATAACAGATTTACATTTACACATTAAAAAAACACATTATTAATTAATAAATTTAAAAATTCTAATATGAAGATTGGTATTGTTTCTTCTGAGGTAGTATTTCATCATATTAGAGCTTGAAATTAGTAATTTTTGCCATTAAAGTTGTTTGCAGATGGTCATCTGTAAATAATGCCTTAAATTGCGATTTTACATATTTCATTTTTGAAAATGTGTTTTAGCATTGGTAAGTACTCCCACATACATATACCCATCTCCGAGTAAGATATTTATAAAATTGAGTTAGATCCTTTTCTTTAAACATCATTACATATCATTTTCCAAGTCAGTCACTTCCAGTTAATGGTCTGATGGAAGCTCCTCAATTATACAGTCAAACAGATTTTGAAATAGAAATATTTTTTGCACTTGCATCAAGGTCCACAAAATGCTAAGTATAAGTTCAGAAAATATATCCTGTATGAAATTTTTTGGGAATGGGGATTTTGCTAATATTTGAAATTTTTTACAACATGCAAAATGGCCAAATTTGCTTAATGTTGTTTGCGTGTAAAACAATGCAAATTTTTGGTGATATGACTTCATGATATAATACATTTCACATACGAGTACTGTTTTCCTCTGTAATTTTAAATTGAATTTGTTGAGATAATCCACGATGTTTGTGGCAAATGCTAATTTCCATAGCCATATACTGTTTGATAAAGATTGTGGGCACTTTTACTCATTCAAAAAAGTATCAATGACTTTCTTGGTCAGAAGAATTTCAGTATAACTTTCCCATGAGCTATTGAACGGATATATGATGAGGCAAGTCAGGAAGTTCACAAAACAAGCGATGGTTTATTTTTTCCTCAATCAGCTGTGATATGTTTTAATTGATTACATCACAAATTGTATTGTATTAGCATTTTCTCAACTGTAGTTGTTTCATGCAGACTATAACTGTAGTTGACTATAGACTCTCCGTTGTAGTTGTTCCATGCAGACAGAAATTAATTCTTCAACCATCTTAAATACAGCATTAACTCTTCAAATAAACACCAGCATTTGAGCAGTATCAGTTATATCTGTTAGCTCACCAAAAGCCAAAGAAAACACAATTTGAAATTTTTTCCCTTGTCTTTAATTGACTTGATGTGGCTCCTCATGTCCACAAACCTTCTAACAGGTGTTCTCGCTGAAGGACGTACAGATAAAAAATATCTATTTTTTTATTTATTTTTTCCTGGGCACATTTCTTTCGTTGCCACAAGCAAACATGATAGATTCACCATCAGTTAAATAGTTTTCCTTTCATGGTTAATAAATGAGGTAAGCTAACTTAAGTTACTGCTTCATTTTTTATTTTTGTGAATAAATTGTGTTGTGATGTTGCATTCTGTTTTAAACTTTCCAGTTTTAATGGTCGTTCATGTTCTGTGAGGTTTCAATTCCATGCTGAATGCTTAGTTTGGTAATGATGACATATGCTGTTTTCTTCTTGCACAGCCATTATGCCATTGCATATTAAACATAAAACATTGTCATTTAATTCTATGACAAAATAATTGGCACTTTATTTTGCTTTAAAAGCACAGCATTTGAGGCACAGTGATGATGGAGGTCTACGCTTTTCTTCTTATTTGATTTCGAGAGTGACATGGTAACAGTAAGTAATGAAAAAATAAATTAACAGTATCAAAATATCATGGATTGCCTTGACAAATGATATCATTCACTCGGCTGTAGCAAAACTGTCCACACATTGTGAAGAATGCACAAACATTTGCCTGTCTGGAGTGCTTTTAAAAACAATGACAAACGAGAGAATACAAAAGTAGCACCACTCATGGTCATTACTCACAACTTTTCAATGAAACTATAGGACACTGCAGAGTAGCGCATAATTCGATTTAATTTTCATGTAAAAAACAATTATCATCTCATGAAACGTAGATTGCTGACCCTTGATATCAGCAATCATTTTTGGTATTCAGAGCATGTAATTGAAAAATTCTTCTGTAAAGTCTTACACTTAAAGAACAAAATATACCACTTGTGCTTTTTATTATATGCTATGCCCTCTCTCATGTCTTTAAATTCTGGTCCTTTTGAAAATGGTTTTCAATAAACATTATATAAAGCCACTTTTAATTGGTTAATTAAAATATATAAGATCAAGTAAATTTCTCTTTTGATGAAATAAATTTCCGCTCTTATGGATATTTGTGTTTAAAATGTTATTATTAAAAACCAATTAAATTAGAAAATGTTATATTGTTTATTGAATCTGTGACATGATAAAATAGTTGATTTTGGTCCTTTGTTAGAGCAAACGTTTCTCACCCTTGACTGACTGTTCTGGTGCATAATTATGGTGATTCATATCCTATTATCAATAGAGGGTACTTCACAGTAATGTTTTACAAAACCTGTTATATTTTGCTTGTGCTTGCTTCCTTTGTGAAAGATATGTTTTTGAATCATATCCATTTATTTAACACAGCTGTTATCTTTCTTCCCTTGGACACTCTATGTCAGAGTTGAGATTAAGTTTAGGTATAGGGTGTTTTACCAAAAATCAAGTTATCCATTTAACTCAGTCCAGTTCTTAATTCATAAAATCTTGATATATGTTATTACAGTTCAGCATCCTCATAGCAACATCAAGGAAGAGATTGTTTTCCTTCTTTTTTAACATCGTGTTGAAAATTGTAGTACTTATTTTATTATGGCATGTATTTTTATAGTAGCCCTGTTTTGAACTCTGATTTTTTAAAAGTCAATCAACTTTTTGCCATTAATCTTTGGCTGTGCTATGTGATTTAAGCTGGTCTTAATTTGTATAAACTCATAACTTTAATGTGAGAAATCACTTCTTGAATTTTCCCAATACTGTCTAGTTGTTATTCATCAGACTTTTGGCAACCTTTAATGAATTTACATTGTTTAGTGTAATAATTGCTTAAAAAGGAATTATGACTGGATCGAAATGCATACTGCTGACTAGCAAATAGAAGACTTGGAATATTAATGTGTATAATGGTTCAAAGTTTTATTGTTACTGTGAAATACCGAAATTGGAGAATGTCAACACGTAGCAAATACATTGGTGAAAGACCGAATATTTGGTTATATTCTTGTGCATTCGGACCATCACCGGTGTATGTCGACAATCACAGATATACTGTGGTGTAGGTCGA